AAGAAAAAGAAGAAGAAGAAGAAGAAGAAGAAGAAGAAGAAGAAGAAGAAGAAGAAGAAGAAGAAGAAGAAGAAGAAGAAGAAGAAGAAGAAGAAGAAGTAGTAGTAGTAGTAGTAGTAGTAGTAGTAGTAGTAGTACACAAATGGCCAGGCGGTGGTGGCGTACAACGTTAATCCCAGCCATCAGGAGGAAGAGGCAGGTGGATCTCTGTAAATTCCAGGCCACCCTGGTCTACAGAGTGAGTTCCAGGATAGCCAGGGCTACTACACAAAGAAACCCTGGCTGGAAGAAGAAAGAAGGAAGGAAGAAGGAAGACAGAAGAAAAAGAAGATTTATATATACAAACAAGAATTTAACAGAGATGAAAGACAGAATTAGATGTTCTAGCCCCAAGTGATGGCACATACCTGTAATTTTAGCATTTGGGAAACTGAGGCACAAGAATCCCAAGTTTGAGGCTGGCCTGGTATGCAAGTTAGACACTGCCTAAAATGAAGTGAGTAACAACAATGGCAAAACAGAATCCTAATAGGATTTTTCTGTGGTTTGAAAGAAAATGACCCCCAAAGGGAGTGGTACTATTAGGAGGTGTGGCTTTGTTGGAATAGGTATGGCCCTGTTGGAGGAAGTATGTCACTGTGGAGGAGGGCTTTGAGATCTCATATATACTCAAGCTACGCCCAGTGTCTCAGACCACTTCCTGTTGTCTGCTGCTAGAGATGTAGGACTCTCAGCTCCATCAACATGTCTGCCTGCATGCCTCCATGTCCCACCATAATAATAGACTCAACCTCTGAAACTGCAAGCCACCCCATTAAATGTTTCCTTTATAAGAGTTGCCATGGTCATGGTGCCTCTTTACAGCCATCGAAACCCTAACTAAGACAGAGTTCCAGAAGGAAAGGATTTAAAAATGAAAGATGAAGATAGAGATGGCTCAGCAGTTAAAAGTGCTTATTGCTGCAAGACATTTGATTACATTGTATTTGTCACTCTGATTGGTCTAATAAAAAGCAGAACAGACAATAGCTAGGCAGGATTTCCAGGCACAGAGGCTGCTATGAAGAAGGGCAGAGATGTAGAAAGACAGAGAACAAACAAGACATGCAGGAGAAGAGAGGTAACAGCCACAAGGCACGTGGCAGCACACAGATGAATAGAAATGGGTTAATTTGAGTGTGAGAACTAGTGCTATTGGCCAGGCTTTCATAATAATAAGTCTCTGTGTCATTACTGAGGAGCCAACGGTTCAGTCCCAACAAAAAAAAAGTCCAACTACAGCTTATTGCTCTTACAGGACCAGAGTCTGGCTCCCAGCACCCACATGAGGCAGCTCAAAAGTGTCTTAAATCTAGCTCTGGAGTATTCAACACCTCCTCTGTCCTCCATGGGCACCCTCATACACATGTTTGCACACATACAAACACACATATATAAAATATTTAAAAATTAAAGACATGCGATATTAGAAAAGACATAGGAAAACAAATTCTCAAACTTGGAAAATAATGAGCTGCTAGAAAACACACATACACAACCCAAACAGATAAAAACAAACCTACATTTAAGGCATGTCCCAACAAACCTGCATAATATGGAAAGAAAAGTCCTATAAAAAACCAGAAATTATAACCTAACTGTACAAATGAATGACGATGAGACAGACAGTCAATAGGTCAGAGAGAACAGAAGGCAGGAAACCAGACTTTACCATCGAAGTCTGAGATGATTTGTCACAACATTCAGTGACAAAAAAACTGGCATTCAAATGCCAGGTTTGCTGTCTCACATCTTTAATCCCAACCCTCAGATAGGCTCAAGCATTCATGTTTTGCAAATGATAGGGTTCTATCCTTTTTTCATGACATTTTTGTCACCAAAATTTTATGCTATATACATTTCACAGTAAAAATAACTGAAGAGCAGGCAAGATTGCTCAGTGGTAAAGACACTTTACCACCAAGCCTGATTATCTGAGTTTGCTCCTAGGGTCTTACATGGTAAAAAGAGAGAACCCAGTTGTACTATTATATACAATGAGAAATAAACCAAGTGCACACTTGTATTCCCTGCACTCAGGACAGAGGCAGGAGCACAGCTCCAAGTTCCAAGCCAGCCTGGTCTACACAGTACATTGCAAGTCTGTCAATGCTTTACAATTTACTTTCTTAAAAGGGACTACAGGGAGCTTACCAACCTGGAAGTGAAGCAGGATACTTTAAAAGTACACTCTTTGCATATACTTCCTCTGACACAGGATCAAACGAAAGGGGAGACATGGGAGGCAAAAGATCCACAGCCTTAAAATACAGAATTCACAATAATAAAGTAAATACTCACAAACAACCACAATGACAAAGCTAAGTTCATCTATGAATGGATTGTTTTCCCCTAACAATGAATTACCAAACATTTATCCTGTGACTATTGTATTTCTTTCTTGTTATATGTATGGACGTTTTGCCTACATGTACATACACTATCTGTGTGCCTGGTGCCCACGGAAGCCAGAAGAGGGTATCAGATACCCTAAGATTGGAGTTTTAACTAGTTATGAGCCACCAAGTGGGTGCTAGAACTCAAATCTGGGTCCTCTGCTAGAGCAGCCAGTGGGCTTAAGTGATGAGCCATCTCTCCCGGCCCTACAAACATTTTTTTTTTAAATCAAGGAATATAATATTTGTAGAAAAAAGTTTCAAATTTTATTTAATAGTATTTTAACCCTCTGATTTTAAAATGAGTAACTATAAATGATAGTAGCTTGATGAAAAACTATTATATATTTAGGAAATTTATAGAAATTAAAACATTTGAACTGCATAGCAGCACACACCTATAATTCTAGTATGTAGACAGCGTAGGCTCCATGTGTTCCAGATCAGCCTGGGATACATATCTACACAACAGGTACCTGTGTCTAAAAACCCAGAGCCAAGCATGGTGGTGCAGGCTTATAATTCCGGCATTTGGGAGCAGATGCAGGAGGATCAAGCAGGTCATTTTCATCAACAGCTACACAGCAAGTTGAAGGCTAACCTGCACTACATGAAACTGTCTCACACAAAACAGCTTGAGCTAATGATGGCTCAGCAGGGAAAAGCACTTGCCAGGAAGCCTCAGAGTCTGAGTTGAATTCCAGGAACACAGGGGAAAGAGATGAAAGAACTGACTCCATAACTCAGCCTGTGCCCTCAAACATACAACATACAATGATTGAAAAAAAAAAAACTCTGACTTCAATGTAAACACAATACACACATACACACAAATTTCTAGGTTACTGTAACATTATAAATTAAAAGACTGTTAAAACTTAAAGACAGAACTGCCAAAATTAAACTCTTCTCCAAACACAAGTCTACAGTACTTACTGAAGGCCCGCCTTTAACTAGACCGAAAGGAGACAAACCAAGTAATCCTTCCCACTTCTTATGCCATTTTCCTTCCTTTTCAACAGTAGAATGTCTTATTGCAGTGACGTCCTCTTTTAGTTTATGCCTATGATATCATAAGAAATAACTGTATTTGAAGGACAAATAAAAATACAGCACAGTTTAAGACAATAGTACCAGGGCAGAAAAGAATATAAAACAAAGATTAACCATTAAACTACATAGAAACTGAATTAACTTCAAATATAATTTTTCTCCTTTTAAAACAAAAGAGCAATCATATGTCTACTACTCTGTTTATTCTAAAAACAAACTTTTGAGACAGAGTCACATACAGTACAGGCTGGCCTAGGATATTTAGCAGAAAATGGTCTTTAACTCCACACCCTCCTCCCAAGTGCTGGGATTACACTTTTGCCACAAGGCATAGTCCCTGTCAGTGCTGTGGGACGGTCTGTATGTCAAATTGCTCTGATTGGTCAATAAATAAAACACTGATTGGCCAGTGGCCAGGCAGGAAGTAGGTGGGACAAGGAGAGAGGAGAATTCTGGGAAGCAGAAGGCTGAGGCGGAGAGACACTGCAGCCGCCGCCATGACCAGCAGCATGTGAAGACGCCGGTAAGCCACCAGCCATGTGGCAAGGTATAGATTGATGGAAATGATTAATTTAAGATAAAAGAACAGTTAGCAAGAAGCCTGCCACGGCCATACAGTTTGTAAGCAATATAAGCCTCTGTGTTTACTTGGTTGGGTCTGAGCGGCTGTGGGACTGGCGGGTGACAGAGATTTGTCCTAACTGTGGGCAAAGCAGAAAAACTCTAGCAACATGTCTCCCTCAGCCCCCACCCCTCACCCTAATCTTCACTCTCAATTCCACTCCTACTCGATCAACTCTTTCCCTATTCAAATGAATCTTTTCTCATGTTCAGTTTTCAGGGGAATCTCACTATATAGAGCAGGTTGGCCCCAAACTCACAATCCTTGTGCCTCAATCTCCCAGCTACTAGGATTACAGGCGTGTACTGCCATGTATGAGTTCAAGGTTAACCTGTTCTACATAGTTGAGTTCCAGCCAGCCAGGCCTACAAAGTGAGACTCTGTCTCAAAAACAAAAAGAATTATCATAAGGCAAATAATTTATTCCAAAAAAGATAAAAACTATATTACTTGTCCTTTTACCTCACATGTCTCTCTGGAAATTCATTCCATATAAGACTCTTAAATACCATTATTTCTTAACTTATTTGCCAAAGCTGAAGAATTAAACACAACTTCTGCTGGAAAAACCACCCTATCCACCCAACAGTACAATAACAAAAGATCATTCTGTATACCTCATATGTTTCATATCTGATAATCTTTCCCTCTGAAATTTGGTTTCTTTTTCAAGGTACTGAAGGTCTATTGTCAATCTTGCTTGGCCAGCCTTACAATGTTCATATTTCATTACTTTCAAGACTTCATTTAACAACTGAATAATTGTTAAAAGGTTCAATTTTCCAGCCTCATAAACATTTCCCATCTGCAACTAAAGATTCAGAAGGAGAAAAAAAAGCAAAGATCTGTAGGTTCTTATGGTAATAAACTGTTACATACTTACGCTTTTCACTACTATATAACATTAGTTTAAGAAATAAATCAATTACCACAACATAAAACTATATAATTTCAATCCAATGAAGACTATCAAAGAATTCACACATCCTTTTTCTATTATGCAAAAAGCTAAAAGAAAATAAATGCAAATAGATGGAAAGAAAAATAAACAGAGGGGCTGGAGAGACAGCTCAGCAATTAAGAGCACTTGGTGCTCTAGCAGGACTGAGTTCAGCTCCCAGCACCCACATGGCACCTTACAACTATCTCTCCTTCATGTTTGTCCCGGGAAACCAGATGCATCCCTCTTCTGCCATTTTTGGGCACCAAGTGTACATGCAGTGTATACACACACACACACACACACACACACACACACCAGAGGCAAACACTCATTCCCATAAAAAGTAAAACAAATCAATCTTTTTTTAAAAGCCTAAAGAGAAAAAGCAGATTTGCAAAAAAGATCACAGTTCTTTGAGACGGGTTCTTACTATGTAGCCTAGCTGGGCTAGGACTTACTATGTCAACCAGGCTGGCCCTGCACTAAAGAGATCTGCCTATCTCTGCCTTCCAAGTGACAAATTTATTTTTTAACAAAAGTTGCAAATGCCATCCAGCCTAGCTCACTTGGTGAGTTGCAGGTCACTAAGAGAACCTGTCTCAAAAGAAAAAGGTGGATTAGCACCTAGAAAACAAGACAAGACACCTGAACTGTCTCCGGCCTCCACGTGCTCCAGTACCTAAGAACACCCACGCACACACACAAGAGGAAGAAAAGAAACAAATCAGGGGGCTAGAGAGAGAACTCAGTCCTCATAGTGTTTGCCATCTGAGCATGAGGCCCCCTTTCCCAGAGAAAAGATGGGCATGGTGGCAACTACTTGTGATCCCAGCACTGGTAAAATGAAGACAGGAGCATCCCTAGAACTCACTGGCCAGCCACCCTACCCTAATCAGTGAGCTCTGGTCCCAGTGTGAGACCCTGTCTCCAAAATCAAGGTGGAAGCCAGGCATGGTGTTACAAGTCTTTAATCCCAGTACTCAGGAAGCAGAAGCAGGTGGACCTCTGGGAGTTTAAGGCCAGCCTGGTATGACTTCTAAGCTAACCAGAGCTACACAGTAAGACCCTATCTCAAAAAAACTAAAACAACAAAAAAGTTAATAGTGATTTTTCTCTAAAGACATCACTACTTCCTTATCTGTATTCTTCAGCTTAATTAATGTCTTTTCTGATACCTGACTACATTCTATAGGAATCTGAATTTACATATCTTGAGTGTTACATACTATGAATTTGATGCACATACATGCATCCTAAAGTGAAATCTCCTCACAAAATATTTTATCTATGTAACGTCTATATACTGCAATCAATACTGCAGAGGTGGGAGGTACTAAATAAACTGTGCTTACTAAGGAAAGAATAAGTAAGCCACACAATTAAAATGTCCCATACGAAGCAGAGATACACAGATGGTAGGTGGTGCTTTGGCTAAAGAAAAAAGACTATAAATACCCATTTAGTAATATATAGGGACCAGATCTTGTGATGCATGTCTTTAATCCTAGCATTCAGGAAGCAGAGGTAAATGGATCTCTATGAGTTAATATACTCAGGGCCAACCTGGTCTACAATGCTAGTTCCAGGCCAGTCAGAAACACACAATGAGACTCTGTTTGGAAAAAACAAAAATAAAATTATTGATAGGAAGGAAGCTGTTGAAGCCATGGCACTGTTAAGAAAATGTAGGTAAATGACAGTGACGGAAAGAAAACTGGGCATAAAATATACACATATATGGGGAGGGCCAGGCATGGTGGTGTTTATCTTTAATTCCAACACTCAGGAGGCAGACAGATCTCTATGAGTCCGAGGCTAGTATGGTCTACATAGCAAGTTCCAGGATAGGCAGGACTACATAGAGACTCTATCTCAAAACAACAACAAAAAAAATAACCCACAAAAACAATAAGGAACCTGTCCTCACTCTTAGAATTTAGATGGGGGAGGGGATGAGCAGTGTGAAAACCCACAGGAAAACAGGGAAGGGAAGGGAAGCAATTTGGGTGTAATCTCTCCCATGGTTTGTTTTCCAAAGTACTGAAGAACAAAATCCTTCTAAGGCTTGTAAAGAAACTCAGCAAAGCTTGTGAATGAAAACAGAGTTCTTAAGTCACATTCTGGTTAAAAACAGAGATGAGTTTAAGAGAAAAAAGAAAAAGCCAGAGCATACAGAATTTATAAAATGCCATCTGGAAGCCAAGCATGACGGTGCACACCTTTAATCCTAGCACTTGGAAGACAGGGGCAGACCTGGTCTACAAATCCAGTTCCAGGCCTGCCAGCGCTACATAGCAGATCCTGTCTTAAAACAACAACAACAACAAAGAGACACAGGAGAGCTGGGCTTGATGGGGCCCACAATCCCAGCTGAGGAGGCTGAGCAAGGGGGAAATTTATAAACTAATTCAGAGGGGGTTAAATGGCTCAGTGGATACAGACATTTGCCACAAAGCCTGAGTTCCACCCCAGGACAAACATGGAGAAGAGAACAGACTTCCATAAAGTGTCCTCTGACCTCCAAATACACACCACGGCGTGTGTGCATTCATACATGTGTATATATACACACAACACACACACACACACACACACACACACACACACACACAAATAAAGTGTAAAGAACAAAACAGTACTATCTTCAAACTACGCCATCTTAAGCTCTCTATACTACACAAAACTGTGCAGAGGAGGAGAGAGAACAAAAGTAAGTGGATGCCAACGCACACACCTTTGACAGGACCCTATGACAGCTCACTACAGACAATAAAGAACACAAACGCTGGCAGCAGGAGAAATCACGGAGTTGACGGGAAGTGTAAGAAGCAGTGACCCTCTTTTAACACATCCCCTTAACAGCAAAGCTTACCTGACATAACTGCTCCTCGATTCTGTCAAGTAAGAGCCTTGGAATATTAACAGAAACGTTAGTTCCATCCAAAGCACATTGGTTAACATGACTTAAGACTGAACTAACAACTTCTTTCTCCTTTTCCAAAAACACAGGTATCTCATTCACAGAAGTCCACAAAGACCGAACCTTTGAAAACAAAACAAAATGTAAAATCCACACATAACATATATGTACTCTAAGAAAATGTTGGCATAAATGTGTTCACCCCTACTAACCAAAGAAATATATCGAAAAGAAAATTAAGTGACTGCAATCTAACTGTTTAAAATATTGATATTATCTCCAAAGGGGCTTGAAAAAAAATTTTTTCTTGATTTTTTTTTCCCATCTTGGGAAGAAGGGACTTGAGACAGGGTCTCACTACATAATCTTGGCTGGCCAAGAACTGGCTTAGACCACACTAGCCTCCAACTCGGAGAGCAGTCTGCCTCTAGAGCTATGATTAAAGACTTGTGCCACCACAGCTGACCTGAAGAATGTCTTAGGGAAAATATAGCTTATATAATTTTCAACAAATTTAAGAAATCTTTATACTACCATTCAAGAATTGTATTCCACATGGCAAGCTCAAAAATGAAGAAAACAAATGCCGGGGTGTGGTTGCACGTGCCTTTTAAGGCGCTCAGGAGGGAGAGGCAGACGGATCTCTATGAGATCTAGGCCGGTCAGATCTACAGACTGACTTCCAGGACAGCTATGTATCCAGACCCTATCTCAAAAAAAAAAGAAATGCAAGGTGAAGTAAATAAGCAGGAGTCAGTCAGAAAACACAAAGGCAAGTGAGAAACAGTCACAGCCTTTTCACAGTGAAGTTAAGTAAGTGTAAACATATGAACTTAGCTTCCTTTGAATGCAATGAGGTCTTTTTTTAAATAATAATTTTCCTATTTTTTAACATTTGAGGAGGAGGAGAAGGATGTGTCTGAGTGTCTTGCCTGCACGTATGTCTGTGTACCAGATTCACCCACTGCTAGAAAAGGACATCCAGTCTCCTGGGCCTGGAGTTAAAGGTGATTATGAGGGGCTCTATGGGTGCTAGAAGCTGAACCTGGGTCCTCCAGGAGAGCAGTGCTCTTAACCTCTGAGCCATCTCCCCTGCTCTTCCTTATGTTTTTTAAAGTAACAGTTTGCCCTCATATGCTAAAGATTCATTATAGAAAATTTAGAAAACATAACCTTTCTTTTTTTTTTTTTTTTTTGGTTTTTTTTTTCGAGACAGGGTTTCTCTGTGTAGCTTTGCGCCTTTCCTGGAACTCGCTTTGGAGACCAGGCTGGCCTCGAACTCACAGAGATCCGCCTGCCTCTGCCTTCCGAGTGCTGGGATCAAAGGCGTGTGCCACCACCGCCCGGCTGAAAACATAACCTTTCTACCAATGCCCTACTATTAACATTTTGTTATCTCCCATGTGTGGGTATGAATATACATAAATTACATTTTTAAACAAAACTAAAGTTGTTTTTTTTTTCCAGAGCTGAGGACCGAACCCAGGGCCTTGTGCTTGCTAGGCAAGTGCTCTACCACTGAGCTAAATCCCCAACCCCAAGTTGTTTTTTATGTATGTGTTCTTTTGTCGCTGCTTCTCACTTGGAATTATATTGTCATGTTTCTGAAATATACTGATCTAGAAAAATGCTACCATTAATACCCTATAGATTTTCACAATGAACAGACCTTCTGCTATTTAAAAAAATATATCTCACCTTTTGAATTTTCTCTTGTATGTTACTCTGGTCATCACTGGGGTCCAGTCTAATAAAAAAAAAAAAATTAAACAACTGAATTAGTCATAAAAAATCCACCTGTCTCGAAAAACCAAAAAAAAAAAATCCACATGGTAATTTTACATTCAAGAAACCAACTGGTCTGCACATCTACAAACAGGCATTTCAATTAAAAATAATGATGATAATGATGATGATAATGAAGCTCTCAACTGGGTGCTGTGCATACCTTTGATCCTAATGCTCAGTAGGCAGAGGCAGACAGATCTTTGAGTTCAAGGCTAGCCTGATCTATATAAAGTCCCAGACCAGACAGGGCTACAAACATTGTGAGATTCTATCTCAAAAAAAAAAACAAAAAAAAAACAAAAAGAACTCAACCTCAAAGCAATAATAATTTCTAAGAACTTTATTAAAAGTGAGAAAAAACATGCTCTAGTCCTAGCATCAACTAGCTAATGACAGATTATTCTGTTTCTATTTTCAGTAGTTTCATCACTTGTAAAATTCAAGATCTAAACCTTGTGTGAAGTAAATTCCAGCTCTAACAGTCACTTGCCTTTTAATTTGGTTTTGTAGAACCATGCATTCCGATCTCAAATTTCGTACTTGCTTAACACACAGACTGCAAGAAAAAACAGAAAAGAGCATTTCCGTTATAATGAACTGGTATGGCCCACTTGTTTATTTTCTCTTTTTGTAATGTTTTAATAGTAAAAATTAAAGGGACCAGCAAGATGATTCAATGGGGAAAAAAAGCACTTGCCTCCAAGCCTGACATCCTGAGTTCCATCCCCAGAACATACAGCAGAGGTGAGACTCAACTTTCAAAAGCTGTCCTCTGACTTCCACTTGCACAATATGGAGTGTACACACAGACATGTTTATTTTTACATGTAAAAGTAAAGATTTATTTAAAAAGAAAACTAGCATAACTGGATCTCAATATGTAAAAGATTACAAATAGATTCATATCTGTCACCATACACAAAACTCAAGTCCAAGTGGATAAAGACCTCAACATAAATCCAGTTACACTAAACTTTATAGAAAA